TAAGATGAAAAACTTTAAACTACTAGATATCAATAGTTACAAGTTTAGTGTGATTAAGAGAATGTGGTAATAATGTACAAATAATCAGAAACATAAGAATATAATTGAGATCGCAGCAACAAGCCCATGTGCATATGGCTACCTCAGTTATGACAGACATGACACTGCAACTCAGTGGAGGAACAGATGACAGGTCAAATGGATATACATTTGGAAGGGAAAAAAAAAGAATCTTGGCCTCTCCTTCACACTGCATACAAAAATAAATTCAAGAAAGATCTTAAACCCAAATGTGAAGTGTAGCACAATAAACCCTCTTTAGGTTTCTATAGGTTCTGATATGTAGTACTTTCATCATAGTTTATCTATATTCTCTAATTTTGGTTTTGATTTTTCTCTTTGGCCCAGAAGTTATTTAAGAGGGACATTTTAAGAACTTTTTGGTGATAGGGTTTTTTTTTGTTGTTTTTTTTTTAATGTTTGTTTCTTCTCTATTTTAGTCATCATTTTTGTTTTCATTGCTTTGTTGTCTGTATCTTTCCTATGCATTTGGAATTTCTTAACATAGGCAATTTTTGTGAGTGGTCTTTGGGCATTAAAAAGACGGTGTTGTCTGTTTAAGGTATGGAGATTAATACTTTTAATTTGTAATTTGTTTATTGCTTATATCCTTATTCATTCATCTATTTATATTGGTCAATTTGATATGACTTGGGTCTAGAGAGGTGAATTAGTTTTAGTTTCGTACTGAACATACTTCTCATTGTAATCCCTGTCATTTTTGTATTGGTAATTTTGATACTATGTTTCCAGTTCACAGATATTCATAACCTGAGTTTCCACTATGAGTTATGTTTTTTGCCATTTTAAAGTGCCTTTCTAGCCGGGCTCGGTGGCTCAGCCTGTAATCCCGCGCCTTGGGAGGCTGAGGTGAGTGGATTGCCTGAGCCCGCAGGTTCAAGACCCACCTGGACAACTTGGTGAGACCTCATCTCTACAATAAATCAAAAAATTGGCCAGATGTGGTAGTGCGCGCCTGTAGTTCCAGCTACTTGGAAGGCTGAGGCGGAAAGATTGCGCTCACGGCCACCGCAGCCTCGACCTGCTGGGCTCCGGCGATCCTTCCGCCTCAGCCTTCCAAGTAGCTGGAACTACAGGCGCGCGCTACCACGCCCAGCTAGATTTTGATTTGTTGTAGAGATGAGGTCTCGCCAAGTTGCATGTATATCATGGATATGTTGTATGTCCTTTATGTTATAAGCTGTTTTTCTCCCAATTCCTTGTTAATTCTTTATTAGTTTACAGTTATTTTTGCTTGCTTGCTCAATCCTGTTCTCTGTGTCTCATACTGTTTTGCTTTGTTTTGTTTTTCCAGCATGGGCTAATCTTTATGCTGCCTTCAATATAACTGTCATTTCTTGGAGATTTTCATTTTTTTCTTCGACTTCGCTTTTGACCAGTTTTAACTCATCTTGGTGTTCTAGCGCCTTCTTTTGCTTCGCCATGTTTTCCTGTATTGTATTCTTCATAAATTGTCTGCTCAGCATCTGTCACATGTTTATCTTGTTCCTTTTCTGTTTGTATATTTTACAGACCGTGTACTGTTTGTTAAATTATTATTATTCCTTCTCCTTACCTGTGAATAAAATGAGTTTTTCCTAGACCATATAGCTGCAGGATAGTTGTAGCAAGGGCGCAGTTTCCAGCAAAAGGGAATTCTCCCTCTGAACGTAGAAGTACCTTAGGACGTGTGTGTGTGTGTGTGTGTTTGTGAGAGAGAGAGAGAGAGCCTACAGAGATGGGCAGTTGCAACCTCTTTCCTCCATGCCCTCACCAATGTACAGGCTTAAAGCAAAAATGTTTTCATATTATTCCTTATTGACATTTCTTAGAGTCTTCAGTTATTTGGGAACTGTGCTTGCCCATGACTGCCAGAACCTGCCCCCTTGGGCATTCTCCGTCTTGCCACGGCCCCACTGGATCCAGTTGCATATGGCAGCCTTTCCAGATATTTTGCCATTCATGCTTTCAGATGACTCCTGATTTTTCATGAAAGATTGAGTTTACTTTTTCTCACTATCTTTGATGTTCAAGGTGATTTCTGAAAGGATAAGGAGAAAGAAAATTCATTATTCTGCAGAAGTCCTTTCTGACTCTGTCGTGTACTTTAACTTTGGCAATGTACATGCCAATTATGGACACCAAAATTAGCCCTGCCTTAAAGATTGTGAATTTGAGGCCTTCATAGTTACTGTTATTGAACCAGGGTCATTAAGAATGAACTGACAATCTTGAGCCAAATTCAACACATTGAATGATGTTTTATGAATGCAATGTAAATAAAGGTTTCTCTGCTTTATCTATGCAGGGAAACTTTTATTGCTCTGTTGCTTTTAGTAAGATTTGTTTTCAGTATGGTGGCCTTATTGATGAACTAGTTTAAATACTGAACTTCATTTCAATGTACATTAGAGAAACTATAATGAACCAAACCTGCAAGAACGAGGCAAAGCTTGCCCCAAACATTTTATCTCCTTTGATCTTCACAACACTTCTGATCTGTCATTTTTATCCCATTTTGGCACATGAAGAAACTGAGGCAGAAGACCCTAAGTAACTTCTCAAAGCATCCAGTTAGTAAGTGCTTGTGTTCCAACGTCTGTAATCTTTCTCCCCTTTCTTTCTGCCTCCCGGGTTACCATAGTCACTCAGTTAAAGGTGTTTTAACCACAGCTTTGGGGTTCTGTAAAGATAATATCAAAAGATCCACAAAAGAGATTCCTAGATGCTTTGTTTTCATCTGTCAAGGCAGATGCTGCTGCTACTTTCTGTGTACTAAGGGGCCACTTCTCTGAGCAGCATTCATAGTCACACCCAACACTTAACACTGCATGTGTTCAGCCTGCAGTTTGTAGGCGTTAATTAGTTTCTGTGACATAAATCATTGTTATGGAGAGTGGTTAAGTAATTTTTCCAAGATCAGTGAGTCCCAGGAGAAAACTGAGATTGGAGATCTCCATCCCAGGCTGAGCCTGTGACATGAGGACTCTGCTAAAGATTGTTTAGTAATGTCAACTCCCTTCATCGCCTGCACTGTAAGAAAGGTGTCTTATCTCACCTGTGCTGTTATCAATAGTATATTATAAAACATGGTAACAGATAAGGAAAAGAAAAGTCAAATCAAGGTTATATACATAGGAAACTTATTTTTAACGAAGTATTTCAAACTATAAAGCTAAGACCATTTTTGTTAAAAATTGCTAATAACAATTTTTTTTATTTAAAAGTTATTTGAGAGTGATATGGGAAAGGACCTGGCTTATTCTGCAAGGACTATCAAGCAATAGAAAGTGAAGTATAAGCTCATTGCTTCTTTGGGCTATTTTTTGTTTCACTAATAAATAGCTTTTTAGAAAAAGTCAGTTGTGGTGACACACGTCTGTAGTCCTAGCTACTTGGGAGGCTGAGGCAGGAGCATCACTTGAGCCCAGGACTTCAAGACTGCAGTGAGCTATGATCATACCACAACATTCCAGTCTTGGCAGCAAGAGTGAGACCCTATCTCTTCAAAAAAAAAAGAAAGAAATAGCTTTTTTTGGGGAGTACATAAGTCTATACCCATATAAAAAATGGTATGGTAAAAAAGTAGGGGAGGGAGATATTATTAAATTATCCCCCAAAAGTCATTTTTGAACAGTTGCATGATTATGGAACTAACCTCAGATTTTAGCCAGTGCAATCCAAACATTATTGGAGAATTTATTTGTTCCTTAAGTGTCATTTTGCTGGATAGTGTTTTATAAGTAGTGATGTTTTTGGGGTAACAACTATGCAAGCAATGAGAGAAAAAGATCATATACTTAATATGCAGGTGGGTATCTCAGCACTTTTCCTTCTTGTATGTGATGCCCATTATCTCCAGTGATAACTTTGTTGACAGCACCCACAAATATATTTGGAGCTAGGTTTTATAAAATAGATCCAGAATCATATGACTAAGAGACCCAGCTGATGACACGTGTCAGCCTCAGATAGATGGTACATTTTCTGTTTTAAAGACTCAAACAAAACTTTTCACATTCTTCTTTGAAAAAAAAAATTACATTTGAAGTCCTTTTTCACCCAAACACATTTTGAGATAAGAGCTCACAAGTCTTGACATTATTTCATTTTGTTATGCGCATCTGTCAAGGAACCAAGATACGATACAGCTACTAAAAACTGATGATTGTGGAACAGAGAAACTTGACAGCATTTCATTTCCTTTATGTTCTGATTATACATTTATCAGAAAACCTGTATCTCCTCTAGTTCAGCTAGAAATTGCTAGAATTCAGGAACTCAAAGGCTTAGCAAAGAACTGTCCTATTATTTGGTATCATCTTACATTTTAGAGAAGTTGCTTGGTTGAGTCATTGTTAAAGCTTTTGCTTCTCTTTTCATTATTGTGGGCCACTATCCACACACCACATTTCTATAGGCCCTATAACTGCTTTGCCGTACAAATTAAACACTGGGATATTTCATACATACACGCCAGCATTTCAATGCTTGTCAATCAGAGTTTATAAAATATAGGGATTACAACTTGATATTAACATCCAAATCTATTGTGTTCATTTTATGTGTGAAAATGAGAAACCCTCGTGCAGACACCAGATTTCCCAGCTTCTTTGTTGGCCTGTTTTTAATTTATCTCTGGGTTTTGAGTCAGTAAAATGATTTTGCTTATCAATTCAATATAGTGATAAAACATATCTATGAATCAGAGTGATCAGAACTAAAATGGATCTACAGGTTGTTTGGCATTCAACCCAGCCCTGCTCAGGGTTTAGCAGGGCTAATTCCTCTGTAGATTATAGACAAACCTGTTTTGAAAATTGTGCCTCAGCAAGTGATATGATTTGCGTCACATGAAGAAATGGATTTGGAAATGCATTGTTTTAGGGAGGAGGACTTAAAACTCTTAAACGTGTTATTTTATGCTTTTTTTTTTACAGGTGTACTTTACAAGAAATTATCCAGTCATTGCAACTCACACTGGCCATGTGTTTATGAACAATTCGAATGGACGACCCTCACCCTCAACTATTTTTGAGACAGCACTGTGAATTCTACCAAGATGTTAAGTCTATTTTGAAGTCATTTTCCAGGTTTTTTGCACTGCATTAACTATATTGTACATTTTTTACCCTAGCAACAAATATTTATACACACGAGATGTTATTTCATTTGGATTTTTCCCCCAACTTTATTCAGTGATTTCAATCTCTAACAAAATGTTTTTTTTAATTTAACGATTATAGTTAGTTTTTTAATCCAGATCAGAGGTGCAGGCCACCAGTTAAAAGCTGTCTACCAGGTGTTATGCCTTAAGAGACTCCAGAGCCAAAGCTCATGTTTTTAAGGAATGAGGACACCATTGTCACAGGTTTTTTGTTGTTGTTGTTATCGCCCTCAAAATTATGTACTAATTTCCAGTTATATCAGGGATTCTGTTTACTTGAAGACTATGTGATGTTGCCATTTTGTCTCGCCATTTTCTTTAACATAACTAGGATCCATTATTTCCCCCTAAAGCTTCTGGGTAAAAGAGTGCAGATAAAACTAATAAAAAACCAATAGTTTGTGACATCATAGCAGGGAGAATCGAACCCACCCCTATTAAAAAAGGATATATTGTTAAAGTATAAAAGGCCAATCAATGTTTTGTATGATCCAAAAGAGAAGGAAGAGAAAATAATAACTTCTCAAAATGGGAGCCCTCCTAGGTGATCGGATTCTGCAGGACACAAATGTGACCATCCCTCATCTTCAAATTTGCTTGACTGTGACATGGTAACTATGTTGCAGTTTTGAACTCAGCATGGTGACACTTCCTTAAAATGGCCAAACCTCTTACATTCCTGAATTACATGGTATTCCCCTTATTTGGATTTTTGGTTTATGGAAGGTTAAACCCTCTCTTAACTATAAACCTTTTGAGGTCACCATTACTGAAATCCTTTCTAAATTGCATGCATAGGTTCTCCTGACTTGGTGAGAGAAACTGAAAATTGTTGCAAGCATTGACTGTAATTATGCAGTACATTCTCAGGATGCATCCAGAAGGTTCACTTTCATGACCCTGTCCAGCTTAGTTTACTTCTGACCACTAATCTGCAGTGTCTTTAGGTCTTTCTGATCAGTGCATCAACAAACCGCAATGCTTCCTGGAACCTGTTATACTTTATTTGAACTATGGGTCTTGAGTTTTTCTTGATGGTGGTTGTAGTATGTTGAGTTCAGTTTATTAAAAGTTTTACGGTCATGGGTTCAAATGGAACCTCATGGTCTCTTAGAAATAAGCATAACCACCCTCAAGTTGCATGTTAGTGTACATACACACTCAGGTGCATGTATGTTCAACCATGTGCCTTCACGCAACAGGTTTTCAGACTCATCAGCAGAGAGAAACAGGTGTTTGTACGATGAAACCTTAAAAAGCACATCCATGACTAACCACCAGAATACATGGAATGTGGTAGCTGTTCAGCTCTTCAGATTTACAAATAATGTTTAGTCCAATAGACCCACACGACAAGATGTTTATTAGTAGTCATGGCTAGTATTTTAGGCAACTGAAATGACAATGATAATAATGAAGTCTGTAAAAAAAAGTAGTCACATTTGAACTGTGTATATGTTTACTTGGTCTTTAAAGATTCAAGGCAGTTATGTATAAACATGTTTCTGTTTCATTTCTGTTTTAATGTTATCATAGGATTTTTTTAATGAAATAAAATTCTGTTTAAATAAATGACAGTTTGTATCTTCACTCAGAGATCTGTACTTTTGTTCTCAGAGGAATTACTGACTCATGTCCTTGCTGGTGAAAGCCAATGAGTTTTCCTGAGCTCAAAAAATACTTTCCATCGTCAACTGGTTCTCTTGGCTAATTAGGTGTACCAGATATTCTAAGCAAGTTTTGGTGGGTTTCAGACAGATTGAAACAGTTGCAATTGAAGCAAGTCCAGTTGCCTCCTTTCTGGAAGAAAGAATGTTAGATTATGCTTCAGGCTGGAGCAAGTATTAAATGGTTGAGGTTTTTGTTTTATTTTTGTGTTTTAAGGTGTCTTTCTCCAAAACAAGAAACAATTTTTGCTGCTACACCTAAAACACTATAGAATATTGGTTCTCAACGTGAGAACCAGAACAAGCAGCCATTACCTGGGACCATATTAGAATTGGAAATGTTTGTGTCTCACCCCAGATCTACTGAATCAGAAACTCTGGTATGAATCGGAAACTAGTCCTCTGTTTTAAAAATTCCTGAGGGTGATTCTGATGCCGGCTGAAGTCTGAGAACTAGTACCACAGGACATAAAGAACCCCTAAAATTCATCAAGAAAAACACAGAACACCTAATCGGGGAAATGGACAAGAGATTTGAATAGGTACTTGACGAAAGAGAATATCCAAATGACCAGTAACCGGAAAAGTGCTCACTCTTGTTAGTCACCAGGGAAATACAAACTAAAACCACAAGGGGATACCAACAAATACCCATTGGAATAGCCAGAATTAAAAAGGTTGAAAATACCAATCAAATGCCAATGAAGCAACAAGAATTTTCATGTACAGCTGTGTGTATGAAAAAGTATTTTGGAAAACAGTTGGACAGCATTTACTCAAACTGCACACCCTGTGATTCGTTAATGCTACCCCAGATAGATGTGGACACATGTGCACCAAGAGATGTTTTCAAGGATGTTCCTAGAAACAATTCCCAGTAGCCCAAACTAGAAATAATCCAATAACTCATCAATAGCAGAAGGAAAATTATGAGATAGTAGTATATTCTCTAGCAATGAAAGCAATTAAACTGCACGAACATCACGGCCGATTCTCACAACATATTATAGCTCCCAAGAAGCCTGACCCAAAAGAATATGATTCCATTTATACAAAATTCACACATAGTTACAACCAAACTACAGTGAGTAGTGTTAGAGTAACAGTGTATAATTTGGGCAAGGTGGAAGATACTGGTATTTGGGGAAAATATGAGAGATACAAGAGGGTCTTTTAGGGTGCTTAAACATTTTATCTTTTTTTTGGCTGGGTGGTGGTTAGATCAGTATTCATTGGGCACGTTTATGTGTCATACTTAAAACTTGAGTTAACTAAAAAAAATGTTCTTGGTCTTGTTTTTCCTTTGATAATCTCAAGTTCAGTGCCTCAGTTGTCTAAAAGTGAATAATCGGCATATGGGAAATTATTTCTGCTGAGTTATTAAAATACAAGACTGTCCAAGAATAGTTTTTTGGGGTTTTTTTGAGTCAGAGTCTCACTCTGTTGCCCAGACTGGGGAGTACAGTTGCACACTCACAGCCACGGTAGCCTCGGCCTGCTGGGCTCAGGTGATCGATCCTTCCATCTCAGCCTTCCAAGTAGCTGGAACTACAGGTGTGTGCCACCACGCCTGGCTAATTTTTTAAAATTTATTGTAGAAAAGAGAGGTCTCACCAAGGTGCCCAGGCTGGTCTGGAACCCCTGGGCTCAGGCAGGCCTCTCACCTCCGCCTCCCAAAGTGCTAGGATTACAGGTGTGAGCCACCGCACCCGGCCAAGAGTTGTCTTATAGCCCATTGCAGCATTTGAAGCTTTTGATAAGTGAGGTCTATATTTTCTCTAAGCAATTAATAAAATAAATCTCCTTTCCAGGGTAAGTACAGAAATCGGGAACTAGAAGGTTTTTCTGGATTCTCTTTTTAAAACAACTTTATTGAGGTTGACTTACATACAAGAAAGCTGTCCATATTTAAGGTATGCGCCTCAGTGGATTTGGAGATAAGTTTACAGCTGTGAAACCATCCCCACAGTCTATCTCAAAAACATATCCATCATCTTCAAAAGTTTCCACTTCCTCTTTTTATTTTTTTAATCTCCATTAGTGGGGATGAAGTATGTAAATAAAAACCAGTCTCCTGAAACTAGAAAACTAATAGAAGGAAATAGGGAAAACACTTCAGCACATTGGTCTAGGCAAAGATTTTATGATTAAGACTTCAAAAGCACAAAAACTAAAGTAAAAATAGGCAAACGGGACTGTATTAAGTGAAAAAGTTTCCACGCAGCAAAAGAAACAGCAAAATGAAGAGATAATCTGTTGAATGGGAGAAAATATTGGCAAAGTATTCATCTGACAAGGCACTGATAGCTAGAATGTATAAGGCACCTAAATAACACAGCAGTTAAAAATAGTAATAACCTTTTCAGAGAGAGAGATGAGGTCTCACCATGTTGCCGAGGCTCGTCTTGAACCCCCAGGCTCAGGCAATCCTCTCACCTTGGCCTCCCAAAGTGCTGGGATTACAGACATGAGACACTGTGCCTAGCCAATCATTCCATTTAAAAGTGGGAAAAAGACACGAATAGACATTTTTCAAAAGAAAAAATATAAATGGCCAACAGGTATATGAAAAACGATTTAACATCACTAATCATCTGGGAAATGCAAACCAAAACCACAATGAGTAGCATCTGACTCCAGTAAGAACGGCCCTGATCAAAAAGAAAAAGCAACTGGGCACGGTGGCTCAAGCCTGTAATCCCAGCACTTTGGGAGGCCAAGGCGAGATGATTGCCTGAGCTCTGGGGTTCGAGACCATCCTGGGCAACTTGGTGAGACCGCATCTCTACAATAAATCAAAAAATAAGCGGGGCGTGGTAGCGCACGCCTGTAGTTCCAGCTACTTGGAAGGCTGAGGCAGAAGAATCGCCTGAGCCCAGCAGGTCAAGGCTGTGGTGGTGGTGAGCGTAGCGTACCACTGCACTCCAGTCTGAGTGACAGAGTGAAACTACGACTCAAAAAAAAAAAAAGAAAGCAGATGCTGGCAGGGCTAGAGAGAAAAGGACGCCATAACTGTTGGTGGGAATGTAAATTAGTACAACCACTATAGAAAACTGTGGAAATTTCTCCAAAAACTAAAGTCAGAACTATCACACAATTCAGCAATCCCGCTCCTGAGTATTTGCCCACAGGAAAAGAAATCTATATATTAAAAACTTGTGTGTTGATTGCAGCTCTGTTCACCATAGCAAAGATATGGATTCATCCTAAGTGTCTGTCCATGGATGAATGAATAAAGAAAATGTGGTGTATATTCACAATGGAATACTATTTGGCCATTAAAAAGAATGAACTTGTGTCATTTGCAGGATCATGGAAAAGGAACCGGAGGTCATTATGTTAAGTGAAGTAAGTCAAACAAGAGAAGACAAAATTCTGCATGTGCTC